GAGCCAACAGGTGCCCAGAAGGGGCCCCGAAGGGCGCCTCTAGGGCCCCCCCATGTGGGTCACCCCCCGTTACCACCCGCCCGACCCTTCATATTGGGTTACAGAGCAGTTTTTTTATACATACAAGCTTTTTGTGAAAAAAACAAGAAGACACATGATTTTTAATACATGATTAACTCATGAGTAAAATTATGCGTGAACTCATCGTTGCTTTGAAAAATACTAAATCCCTGCATTTTGAATACATGATCCGCACGCGGAGCATGTATTAAAAACGGCACTATACTGTAGCCTTGATCACCAGAAAGAATTTCGAGCGCCAGAAAAAAAAAAAAAAACACCGAAACTCAAGGGTTTTCACGTGCCGGGCCCTGGGAGACACTTGCCCGACACTGTGTCGACACTCTTTTGACACTCTGTTTGACATTCTTCTGAGTGCTCGAAACTATTTCTGGGACGTGGCCCTTAAGTAGGATGGGAACGACAGGAATCTTAGGTCGGGCGTGTCCTTCTGCAGGCAGAGTTTGGAAAATAAGCAATACGCAACACATACTCGGCGACTACCCCGCCCCAAGAGGCCCCCAAGAGCCCCCCGAGAGGCCCAAGGGGGCTCCAAGACGCCGCCAAGGAGCCCCGAGAGACCCCCAAGAGGCCCCCGAGAGGCCCCCAGGAGGCCCCAGAGATGCCCCCGATAGGCTTCAAGCAGGCCCTATAGAGCGCTCGAGGGCCGGCGGAATGAGCGAAGCGATTCAGTAAACAATACGCAATTAGCCAAGCAAAGCAACCGAACAGCGATGTGTAAAAGCATATATGTGTGCACCATCATTTAGATTCAGATGGCGATTTCATTAACATTCAACTCGGACTCTCATTGTAGACTTTTGCATCAAAGTCTGCAATCGTCGGATGTGAGTTTAAACGAGCACTCGGTATCAACGAATGCAGTTTTAAATGAGACTCTGGTATCTACGTTCACTGCGTGCTCGCGGAAGCGTTCGAAGTGGATGATGTGATGATGACCATGATTTTTTTAAAGTAGAGCTTATGTATCAATGAATGCTGCGTTTGATGGCTGCGTTCTTTCGGCGTGTTTTTTTTTTCGGACACGCGCAAGGAGCGCAAATGAGCGCAGCGTACGGAGCGAGAAAACGGGCAAAAGCTGCAAGCTAAGAAGCATCGCAGACACTCGCAGGCACCGTGCCAACGCGGCCGAGCAGATCATTACCTTTGGAAGTAGTCTTCCAATACTGCAGGCTGAGCACAGCGGGCATGGAGAGTTGGATCCATCACCTCTCCTGTTCGTCTTCTCGAAGATCGCGCCAGTCTGGCGGCAATCACGAGCGAACAAGCGTGGCAACCCTGCCGGCTTAAAAGCACCACGGAGACTCAGAGACAGAGTCCCCCCTCCTCTTCCACCTCATCTTCCTCCACCTCCGCCCTCCTCTTCCTTTTCCTCCTTCTCCTCCTGCTCGTCCTCTCCCTTCTCTCCCTCCCCCTCCTCGTCCTCTTCGGCAGAGAAGCTGAGCGCGGTCGTGCAGCGCATCACTTTTGGAGCTAGATCACGCCGGTCCGGCGGCGAACAGAAGCGGAAAACGAAGCAAACCTGCAGGCTTAGAAGCACCGCGCAGACTGGCAGACAGAGCCCCCCCTCCTCTTCCACCTCATCCTCCTTCGCCTCCGCCCTCCTCTTGCCCCATCCTCCTCCTCCTCCTGCTCGTCATCCCCCTTGTCTTCCTCCTCCTCCCCGCCCTGTCAGCACAGAGGCTGAAGGCGGCCGTGCAGCGCAGCACTTTTGGAACTAGATCGCGCCAGTCTGGCGACGAACAAAAGAGGAATGCGAGGCAAGCCTGCAGGCTTAGAAGCACCACAGAGACTGGCAGACAGAGCCCCCCCTCCTCTTCCACCTCATCCTCGTCGGCCTCCGCCCTCCTCTTGCCCGTCCTCCTCCTCTTCCTCCTGCGCGCCCTCTCCCCTCGCTTCCTCCTCTTCCTCGTCTTCCTCAGCAGAGAAGCTGTGCGCGGCCGTGCAGGGAATCACTTTTGCAAGTAACATTCCAACACCGCAGGCGCAGAAGCACCGCGGGCAAGCAGGCCTGGATCCATCACCTCTCGCGCTCGTCTTCCAGGAAATCGCGCCAATCTGGAGGCTGCCAAGAATCGATGATGCGCCGGGATCCACCTCCGGTGCTGCCGCCGACGTCAAGGTAATCACCCTCTTTCGTGCGCAGACGACCATGTCCCAGCGCCACAATCGCCGCATTGCGGTTCTTGAGCAACTCGCCGCTCTCCCACTTCCGCAGTACATCCCATTGCCTGCGAGTGAAAGTGGCATCGTCTGCAGGCTGACTAGCACCGCGACGCTGCACCTCTTGCCGATGGCGATAGAGCCGCTCACCTTCGTTGTAGCGCGCAATGGCCTCCGCCTTGTCACGATGGAGGCGGCGGCGCTCTTCCTGAGAGACCTGGTTGCGATCGGCGAGGTCTGCGGGTGCATCGCTGGGCTCGACGTGCAAGGCTCGCTTGAGCATGTCAACGTCGAAGCGGCCGGAAAAGGCGAGGACCTCCCAGATCTGCTTCGTCCCGGAAACGCGTTGCAGATGCCGACACCATCGCTTGCGCTTTTGCTCTCTGATGAACTTACGGAGGCTGCCAATGCCTTGTTCCTTGCCCTTGCCTTTTTCCCTTGCCTTTGCTCGCAGGCTGATCAGCACCGCGTTCCTGCTGTGCTGACGTTTTTCCCTTCGCTTTCCCTTTCTCGGCAGCTCGGTTCTGCAGCTGAACCTGGAAGGCAGAACTTTCGTACTCTTCTCGAGCACGTTTGACAAGTTTCCCGCGCTCCTCCTCAGTAAGGACATGGCGCATGTTCGTAATGTTCTTGCTTCGGAGGAAGTCGTGGCGGATCCGCAGAACAGCCTGAATGGCCCGAGCAGTCTCTTCCTGCGACGCGTAGGCTGCGTCGCAGTCATCGCCAGGCTGAGGAGCACCAGCGTCTGCCCTCTTCACGAAAAGCAGAAGGCTGAGCTGATGGAGAAGTTTGGGATCGTAGCTCTCCTCGTACATCTGCCCCCAGTACTCCCTCATCTCACGATGCGCTTCCTGCGCGCGCTGATGAACTTCATCGTCAAGCTCGTTGCGCTGCGGCGAAGGCGAGCGGCTCGGTATGGGTTGCCATTCTGGCGAAGGAGAACGGCTTGGCAAGGGTTCCCAGTCGACTTCAGTTTCGGCTTTGTCTGAAGCAGTATCGGAGACGACGAAATCTCCTAAGGCAATCTGCCGCTTCTTTGTCTCCTTAGGCTGAGAAGCACCAGGGAGAGTAATGGCGATTGCAACAGCATCGTGGGAATCGTTGCGCATGCCACGGTCCTGGTACGATGCGCCAACAGCGATGGGCTTGAACTGCGCAGTGGCCCCAGAGACCGCCGTCACCTTGGCGATCACTTCGATGCGCAAACACATCCCACAACTGCTCGTCATCGGTGCGGCGCTGCAGAGCAACGCGGGTCTGCGTGGACGTCAGGTTGTTGTCGCCGACAATGACGCGGACAACTGGTGCGTCCACTTGCGGACCTGGTGCGTCCACTTGCGTCCACTGTCCAGGTAGAGTCGGAGGAGCCTGACCGCACGTTGTTTGGTCAGCACCGACGGCGGCTTCGCTCCGCAACCGATGTGCAAGTTGGCAGTAATCAAATGAATTTTACCATGGCCTTCTATTTGCACATCGAACCGTGTGATCGCCGCGTCCACATGTCTCCCGATTGGGATGTGATGGATATGCTTGTCTCCCTGCAGGGAAACATCGACAGGCTGAGAAGCGCCGCCGAATCCCCACAGGCATAGGTAGTTGTCAACCTCGGAGAAACAGACATTGTCGCCAAACGGTTTCGTCAGGATGTCTGCCGCGTCAGCCATCGCTTTGCTGAGGCCTTGCCGAGACGCACCGACTTCGCAAGCAAACAACAGATCAGCATCACCGTCCTGGACGATTGTGGCGCACACGCGGGCAAAGTTGGAGAAGTGAGTGCCAGCCCTTTTCCCAGTCATCATATTCTGATCGAATCCGAAGTTGAAAGGGGGCGATCGTGGAAGACGCAGGCTGAGAAGCACAGCGACCAGTGGCGACCGCGGGCTCCTGTCGGCTTTCGTTCGCAGGCTGAGAAGCACCACGAGAAGCTGACGCTGAAGATGCCATCGCGAGACTGGCGCCCTTTCACCAAAGAAGAGTACCGTTGCAAAAACTCTGTAAGCCAAAGACAGCTATCAAAAGCAAAAAGGAACATGAGGAGTCCATATGCTATCTTCTGATCCCACTAGAAAGCTATCAGCAAAAGCTGTTCGGTCTACTACTACTACTACTACTACTACTACTACTACTACTACTACTACTACTACTACTACTACTACTACTACTACTACTACTACTACTACTACTACT